TTTTTTCTACGTCCAGTAGCCAAACAAACCAAGCAGTTGGGTGACGAGGTCGTAAGTGAATGAATTTAATGTGCCTCAAATTCTCACGGTTAAATCACAATAACCAACAATAAATTTGTAATAACAACTCATACTTATATTAAAGTGAAAGAATTGATTATTAAAATTCGAGTTTCATGAGTAAGTAGCCATAAAAATCCAACATAGAATATCTCCCGTTTAAACGGTACCGTTTCGTTTACTGCTATCCGTTTAAACGTTTACAAAATTCAGTAAACGTTTCACCCTAGTTAAAAAGACAGAGAAAATTCAAAATACAAACAAGTGCAACTTAGGATTAATTGTTCCGATATATCTATTTTAATTTTGTGCACAATTGTTTTCAAAATTACATTAAAATCTATTTTCCTAAAACAAGAACCCAGCAATAGATAAATATTAATCGAATAAACTTACCTTTTCTCTTGTCAATCAGAAAATCTTGTTGACATTAAATGTTTCTTAGTCGCCATATTTTTTTTCCATGAAAACAAACGTTGTCATGATCAGGATCAACGGAAGTTGATTTTCGGAACTCTCGAGAATTTAGAGTTCCGAATGTAAAACTGAAACAACAAAACACGGTGCGTCCGTGAAAGCAACTTTTTTGGACACTTTTTTGGACAAATCGTCGTGTCCAAGTTTTGTTGGGTACTAACCTGCAAATACCCAATTAGGGTGTTTTAAGCATATTCAGCGACACTTCTTATTGGGTATACCCAATAAGCAAAAAGTACCCAATAAGTACAATCTTGGCATGAAAAATACCCAATAAATGCACTCTCGTAAACACGGACGGACGGACGGACAGACTGATCACTATAGGGCGCCCGCCAAGCGGGGCCCTAATTAAGTTTAAAATAAGGTGAAGACTGATTTATATTGTTTAACGTCATTTACACATGCATAAATAAGAATTCGAAGAAATGCACTAAATCAAATATACGCTAACTTATTCAATCATCAATTTCCGCCAAATATCGTAAACGGTAAATATAATACATTAACAGTAATTGGAAGACCTGGTCTCCAAAAACCACATAGATATTGTCAATCAGATACTCAAGCATCTTTTTGATGTCAACTACAGAGTACTTTTGTGTGCAATAAGAATGTGTTTTAACAAAATATTTTTGCAAGTTAGTGAAGTAACCAATGGCAAAGTGAGTAAATTTACGAGTTCCATTTTTATTGAAAAAAGCAGCTGTCAATATGATATCAAAAGCCTTATCATGTGGAGTGGTTATGTATAAAATTAAAAACTTGTAAATTTTGATAATAATACGAGATAATACAAGATATAAATGATATAAATTATTCGGACCCAGTCTTCTGCCAAACTTTTGGACCGGGTGGCACGCTCGTTAGAGTGTCTGAGGTAGTTCCCGGAGTAAGGAGTCGATCCTTACGTCACGAGTTCAAATTCACTACGGGACGTGGAGACCAGGGATCAAATGCATAAAAATCTGTATAAACCAAAGTCCCCGTGTCAAAGTATAGGTATTGGCAAGAAAGATCGCTTATTGCTCAGTGGCTCTGATTGTCGAGTATAGGTTAAAATTTGCAGCCCTCCAACAGCAAGTAGTGGTGTCTCCCCATGAGTGAAAAAAATTCTCGAGAGGGACGTTGAAAACTTAATCAACAAAACGAACAAATTTTTGGAATTCCGATGCGGATATCCAACGAAAAGGTAACAAAATTATCCATTTTATCAGTTGTCTGTGATGCAAAAAAAAGTCTTGTCTTATATTTATCTTGGGGAATGGTTTGTTAAAGTGATGAAAATCATGCATTTGTTTGCTATTTATGTTGGTAAAATTTTTAATTTAATTTTTTTTATAGATTTTTTAATATAAACATTTGATCCACACCAATATGGTTTTTTGCGGTTTTGCTAAACTTTCTTCTTTACTGCTGTTAATTTTTAATGATGAGTAAAGAAAGATATGGAGATAACGAACAGTATTCAATATCAAAGTCCATAAAAAAATACAAAATAGGAGCAGAGCAAACACGGACCTCCAAAGCATCAGAAGTTGGATCAGGTGCCATGAAGAAGTGAGCATCCAGGGGCGTAGCAACAGGGGGGGGGGCAGGGGGGGGGCTGCCCCTCCCCACTTTTTCCCCCAAGCTTACATGTACTTATACTATAGGAAAATTGAAAGCCTGGTTGCCCCGCCCCCCCCCCCCTCCCCCCCCCCCCCCCCACACACACACTTTTAGTGATGTACCGAAAATATTGTATTAGATTTGGTACTGAAAGTAGTTGACAGGGAGAAAAAGTTTACCAACAATGTGATTGTAAAGAGTATTAAAAGTATCTAAAACTGACATATGACTTTTGAAGAATCTCTTCCCTAGAAACGAAACTGTCCGTTTATCTTTGGTTACCTCTTGAACAATTGAACCGCATTTTATGTAAAATGCAGTAGTTATTATTACAAACAAAGAATATTGTTACCTACTTTGTAAACGTGAATCAGTATACATTAATAATTATATATAACTAGACAATTCTTTTCTCACTATTGTACTTTTGGCTGACCGGTGGAGATGAATTGCTTCCCCTTTATGTACATGATCTCACCTTTGATGTTGCCAGGTGATCCGTGTTCAAGACTTGTATTTACTACTGGAGTTTTAATATTGATCACTGTTTGTTACCTTCGCTTTTTACATTTAGTCCTTTTTTGACAACCTGAAGGCAGAGGGATATTTAGTTTAAGGTTCATAAACACTCTGCTCACTCATATAAAATGTTACTTGAACCTTAATGATTTTCTAAAAGAGATGTATCTTTTAAGTAAAATGCAAACAATTATAACATAGCTTGAGGGGCGAAATTGGATAAAAAAGACACTTCCACTTCACAAGTTTATAAAGGAATAATAGACATTGAAGTCATTAAGAGTTATCTCTCTTATCAGAGTATCAATGAACCTTAAATATTGTTACTGAATGGTTTGAAACCTAATTTCAATTTTCATCCTTAATATACTCTAACTTCATATCAATATTTTGCAATTTCTATGTTTGCAACCATAATCTTTCCTTCTTTCCCATGACTGTATTTTTGTCATGCAGACAACTAATCCGAAATATTTGAGGTTTTCCAGATCCTTTTTTACGATTTTGATATTTTACGTGCCAGGAAAACGTAAGAACCGGCGCCATTACGAAAACTGGAATTCGCGGCCTCCAACTGGAACACGTGCAAACCGAATTAAATTAAACTCACGACTTATCAATAGTACAATCGCCAACATCCTTTTAAGGTTCGTTTGTAAAAATATACAGGACGTTGAGAACATTTTATCTAGATTTCTTTCCATTTTGTGCATTTTAAAATTTGCAAGTATCGAAATGTGGAGTGATGTTTTCTTTTATATGATATTGGTGATCATTTTTCTATTGATAAATCGTGAGTTCAGCATTTAATTCGCATCGCAAGTATCGAAAATCAGCTCCGGTTGGAGATGGCTAAATTTCCAGTTTTCGTAATAGCACCGGTTCTGACGTTTTCCTGACACGTAAAATTGTGAAAGAAGCCTGGAAAAACTTAAAAAAGAAACGAAAGTAGAAAATGTTTGCTTTGCTTTCATACCGGTCTTCTCGTGCCCAGAATGACAATAATTCAGAATAAAGGAAAACAAGAACGCGTAGGCGGAGTTTATTTAAAGAGTCAAGGAATCGCTTTTTCCCTGCACGAAATAGATATAATATTTCACAATAACGAAGATATTGCATTGGTTTCTTACGATATATATATTTGGATTAGTTGTGTCACAAACTATACAACATAATGGAATCCATCATTCAAATTGGTTTATTTGTTGTCCTTCTCTTGGTTTATTCCAATGGAGACAAGATCCATCCATCCTTATCAGGTATACACTGTTTTTTTGTTACATGTTACTTAGATAATTAAAAAAACATTAAGATCATTCTTTTAAACGCTTATTTTCCCTTAGTTAAATGATTAAAAAAATAACTAATTACATTTTTTAATAAATATTGCAGCAAAACTTCATCAAAATCTGAAGACTTCCCGCTGGTCTTGGAAAAAAATAGGATCGAATATCAATATTAAACACCCTGTCTCACTAAAAGTGATTGTTGTTTCTACATTCAATGTATCTAAATTACCCAAGGATACATTACCCAATAGTAAGATTATGTTTGATATACGTTACTTATATATACCATAGTTTTATTGAGAATACATTGCATATACCTGTACATTTTTATAACCTTTAGTCAAGTACAAAAACTGTGCAACCATACTAAAGAAAAATCCGGGTCGGAAAGGACAGGATGGTGTATACACAATTTATCCGGATGGAAAACAAGAGAAGAAAGTTTACTGTGACATGACTACAGAGGGAGGGGGTTGGACGGTGAGGGTTAAATCTTAATTGATTCTTCTTTAGAAGCATTGTATTTCATCATACGGTATAATCTTGTTGGCTACGTCTGCAACCGTTTCTTTTTATGAAGGTGATTCAGAAAAGATTGGACGGAAGTACAATTTTTTATCGGACCTGGAATGAATATAAAGCTGGTTTCGGGGATCCTAGTAAAAACTATTGGATAGGTGTGTAGTCAGTCTAATGCTGTATCACGTTAAAAAAAAATAAATGCCTTAATTTTTTTGGATTTATTTGTCATATTTGATTCGAAATAAAATACCACGATCAAAGAGGTACAAGAAATTAAAAAAAATCTGCTAATTAATTCTTGATTCAAGTTTTCAGAAAAAAGTACAGGTATTTCTACTGTACAAAAGCGCCAAATAAACTTATTCTGCAACATTCTAAATTTTGTATTTACTCCCACCCATTAAATTCAAATTTTAAAACATGACACCAATGTAAAATATTTAGCCCCACTTTAAAATTTATTTGTGCAACAGTAAATTTCAGCATTACTGAAAATATTCAATAAAATCTTTGTTAGCTTTTGAGAATAATATAAATTTTATGACAATATTTATTTCAGGAAACGATAACATGCACCTGCTTACAAAAGAGGGAGATCAGGAACTTCGGGCTGATTTTGAGAAATTCAACGGTCAGAAATTTTACTCAAATTATTCAACATTTGCAGTAGGTGACGAACAAAACAAGTATGAACTGAGAGTGTCAGGCTACAGTGGTACAGCAGGTGATTTTACATTTAAATTTTATAATTCTAAAACAATTATCTTAAGCATGGTTTTAAATTGAAACAGAATGGAACACTCAATTTCTTCTCATAATAATTGAAAAGTTGAGTGTTTTTCGACAGGACTGGCAAAACATATGTCTAATGATTAATATTCTGCAATTAATGATAAGAAAAATTTAGATAATCACTTGTTAAAAAAAATGAATTACAACATACATGTATAATGATCATAAATAGTGTCCTTCACTAGAGTCCTCTGTTGATTTTTTAATAAGAGATTCTTAGAATTATTTTTAATAATTCTGGTTTTAATTATTACTTACTCTATATACTAGTATTAATTCTTTTCCCAACTTCGATGGTAATTGTAACATTTTCTTTTTTTAATGTCTAGGCGACAGCCTTTCTTACCATAATAAAATGAAGTTTACAACAAAAGATCAGGATAACGATATCAGGAGGAGATCGAATTGTGCAATAGATTACAAAGGAGCATGGTGGTACAGAGATGGTTATTACTCCAATCTGAATGGGATGTATGCTAGTTCTGCCGTGAAAGACGTCAAATATACAAACTGGTTCACGTTGAAAAGTAATCACGAAGCACTGAAAGTTTCAATATTGATGATAAGACCTTCGAAATAATAATAAAAAAAAATGTTGTTACTGCAAGCAAATAAAAGGGAAATACTTGATTTATTTTTTAAAGCCTCATTCTTTTTTCTACACAATCAACTCAATTGTGTTCCTTTTGTAATTATATTTTTATCGATTTCACGTGTTAAATACTCTAGTATTGTATATCATATAAATTTAGCAGGGGCCTGTTTAACAAAAAATTCGTGGTTAAAACTAAATTTGACATTCGTAAGATAATTCATATGAAAATTAACCCCCATCCCCGCAATCACGCATTTTAACGCATATACCGTTGCCCCGCAATCACGCATTTTAACGCATATACCTTTGCCCCGCAATCACGCACTTTAACGCATATTTCGTTTTTGACGTTTTCTGCTCTGATAACGCGTTATGTTTTGATTGTATGATAAGATAATAAATTTAGTAATTCCATTCTAATATCTTTCGCAAATAAGAATATTTTTCCTCAATTTAATAAGTCCGAGTTGTCCGATTTATTTGACGAAACTTGGGATGCGCGACAAATTAAGGTCTTTCTTTTGACACTGAATAAGCCAAGCACTTGATCCACTGATTTGGTGAAGTGGAAGTCCCTCAATCTTGTGCGAGATGGGACCCTTGGTCCAGAATTTATCAAATTCGACAAATGTTTTTTTTTATGTAAATGTTTGATAAAAACTCATGCAGAAATCGACAGAAGGACCGTATAAAATTACAAAGGAATATTTAAGTTAATACATAATCATACAACTGAAGAGAAAAGAAGTTTTGGTCATAGATTAAAACTTTGTTCCAGTTTACATGTAATCTTATGTTTTATGTAATCTCATGTAATCTTATTTCTTGTTCGATTTAAAATTAAATTCGTAAAGATACAATAATTTAACCTGATTTTTTCCGCCTTACATAGCAATCCCTAGAAAAAAAATACACATACACAAATAGAGAGGAACAGGATAAAGGAACGACAAATAAGTTGAAAAAGAGGTTGATTTAAATTTGATTGATCTCATTATCATATCAACGCTTCCGATATTGTTAAAAGAAAAAGTGTTGCTCTTACTCGATCGTGTGTCTTGATTTCTAAAACAAGGTATTCGGGGAAAAATTTATGCAAGTATACTGCACACTTGTTTGATATTTTCAAAAAAAAGCAGAACAAAAGAAATGTCGGTGAGTCAATGCTCGAGCGTCAATAATGCCCTGCTCTAATGTGAATATATAGAGAATAATACATACCCTTTTCCATATCACATCCTGTATCAGCCCGAGACACCAATATCAGCCAGAGGGCCGAAGGCCCGAGGGCTGATATTGGTTGAGGGCTGATACAGGATGTGATGTGGAAAAGAGTATGTTTTATTATATTTATTACATACTTAGTAATAAAATACAGAACACATTTAGTTGAGAAGAAAATAAGTAAATAATCATGCACAGACTTCTTAAAATGTACACAAGTACCGTCTATTGTCTCATACAGTTTCGGTTTGTTTCTGTACTTCTATTTCAAGTGTCCCCAATCCGTAATTTGAAAATAATCTATTACATGTATTTGTAAATTAAGATTAACCTTATTTTCAAAAAGTTAAAATAAAGAGAATATGAACCAACCAAAAATTATGTATGATCACAAGTACTGTTTTTGTGGTTTAATTCACTAGGGGTGTGATATTGACGTCACAATAGCCATATCAGCCCTGCAGGGCTGATATGGATTTGCAGGGCTGATATAGGTTATCAGCCCCACAAATCCATACCAGCCCTGCAGGGCTGATACGGCTATTGTGATGTCAGCCATATCGCATATGCAAAAAACCTGTATTTATTACTAAGTATGTAATAAACACTATTATGTTTACACACCTTCACAGATGCACGATAAAAAATTAAAATTTGCAGGTAGGAATATTCGTTGATCTGCCTCGAGTACATTTATATTGTCCGTATATTATTAATTAAAAATATTCACTTATCAGCCGCTTTCACACGATTGTATATACCCTGTGGGTTTATGTATGTCAACACTGCATACACTAGAAATAATAGGTTTTGAAAAATCTTATTAGGCGACTTAAACTTTCAAGAAGAGGACGACGATGTGGTCTGATGGGATTCTTCCACCAGCTATATTTTTTATATGACTGTATTCAAAGGGTGATAAATACCATATGTAGATACATGTGTGAGGAGTAATGCATTTAAATGTCTTTTTTCTCGGGGGGGGGGGGGGGAGTTTACATCTTTTACCAACAGCGATCTAAATTATTCCCTGCATTTCATCTCCGGAATCATAATAATATAATATTAAAATTATAATATCAAGAATTTCCGGCATTTTTTTCTTCGACCAACAGCCATCTTGTTAAAAAGAAGAACTGATTAGAAATTTTATACTCACTTAATTTCATCACAGAAATGTTCAGCATTTCCGACACATTTTTTGCATTTTTTTTTTGCGGGGGTGGGGGGGGTGCATCTTATGTCTACCAAGTTTATATGAATAATCGATAAATTAAAAAAGGAAAATCAATTACACTTGTACTATATTATGTCAGTGATGTCCGAGACACATGATACTGATCTCTAATTTAACATCCATGGTTTTTTTTTTTAAAAACAAAGCTTTTGATGTCAATGATTTATTGTTCAATGATAATGATTTCAACTTTCAATAAAGAAAGTTTTCGGCCCCAGTTTTATTATCTGAAATTTACTCTTTCATAAATGTCGGAAAATAAATCTATAAACTGTCATTAACTAAGTAATATCGGAAATATAAGTAGGATATACATTGTATAATTATTTTTTTTTCTACTGAAAAAGACTGTAGTCAAACTATTGAAATTACCTGTCTATTCTCCTTTTTGATTTATATCAATTATTTTCGGTCAGAATTGTATATCCTTTACAAACACAATTAATTATTTATTTTCTGCCGTTAACTTGTATATTTTAATACTAGATAGTAATATGATGATCATGGGATAACCGACGACCTGAGTAATTGATTAATTTTTATTGTATACCATGTTTCTTATTGACTTTATTTTCTACAACTTTGATTAAATTTTATATAAATATCTTTTGTACATAGAAGTGGACAAGTTTTCGTGTACATCGATGCCGCATGTTCAAAAAATTCATCGTCATAGAAATCTGATACGGCAACCTTTGGAAAAATTGTGGAAATACCTTCTATATTTCCCAGTACATACAGCTACAATTAATGCATTTCCATATAGAAACATTTTTAAAAGTACTGCCTGATTTTTTAAGAGTACTGCCTGATTTGCTCCACAAATAATCGGAATACTTCGGACAACATCGGGAAAATATTGAGTACTGAATTGCTACGTCTGAGGAGTTTGTGGACTCTTTTGTAAACTATTCTATTGCTTTTAAAAAATTGTTAAAATTCTATTCCAAAAAATACTTCTTTTCGATGTTTTTTTTAATTATTATTATTTTTTTTTTTCAAATTCGCCTTTAGTCCCGGCCCTCCGAAGTTTTTTCTATATTTTTAAACGTACTGATTTTAGTAGCCCACACGTGGGTGTAAAGATTCTACAATCTCCTTTAGCCAAGGGATTCCGATGTGCTTCACATCGATTTCGGGTCGGAAACCCTTGGCTAGCAAGGTATAGCTATATACTGCTAATTTTTAAAGACTGATTATTTTAATGCCTATAATCCGACGGCAGTATTTCATTCGTAAATCGGCCAAAATATTAATAAGATGTGGTCAGTTAAATTTTTACTACATGTATTTTAAGAATTAGAATGTCTTCCATCGACAATGCGCTACACATATGTAGTATCGTTCAATAGAAATTAAGCAATATTCCAACAATGTAGTTTTTTTCAAATTTAAAAAAAATCTCTCGAACAGTTAATTGTGCTGGAAGCTACATCTCCTTTTTTGTCCTAAAAAATCAATAAAATACTTGTGTCGTTGTCTGTCATTTTTAACCCGAGCATAAAAATGACACCCTGTCTGGAAACTCAAACAATTATTTGAAACAAAGTTTCAAATTTAGATTACTTGTAAGCTATGATTATTTATCAAGTTTGTAAAAGTCCACAAAAAAAAAATTATTTAAACAAAATAAACAGGATTAAATCATCATCAAAATACTTTAATTCATTTTACAGATGGTTGCATTAATACTAGGGCGATATATACGGCAACATTTACTACTCACACCATGTAAATATTCATTTCCAAAACAACGTCTTTTCAGCACGTAATCGCAAGTGCGCTGCGGGGAAAAGGATAACGTCATCGGAAAGTAACAAATGTAATGGACTATTACGTCACAGACAGCGCAAGGGGCAAAGAGTTAACATTAACGTAAACACAACTTCCTTGATGATTGTATGAAAACTCAAGTGAATTTTGTGAATCTTTCTAAGAGTTAAATTAAATTATCAAAACTGGATAGTTATATCCCGCTTTTACTGACAGATCAGACATCACAAGTATAAAGAAAAGAAGGTTACGGTATATAAAAACTAAAACTAGTCCGGTCCGAATAAAACTCTTAAGGGGACGAAGGATGTATGGTCACATGACTCAGTTTAATTACGCCATAATCTCTGATAAAACATGTTCAAAACAAGATTGAAACCACAGTTTTGTATAATTTTTTGACTGTTTGTTAGCGTTCACCATCTTGTAAAAGAATATTAAAAAAATTCATACTTTCTTGCAAATATCAAATTACGGAAAAAAATTGATTCACTCTTCTGTTTCCCTTCACTACGCTTCCAACGAGTCGTTGACGTCACAGTGGATCTCTTAGTACAGTAAGATTATACACAGTGAAACACGAGTAGTATGATATCATAGAAACGGGTCATGATCAGTACATGGTGGGTTTTTTTTTGAATTTGAGAACACAAAAAAATATTTTCACATTGTTGTTGACGGAAATATTTTGTAGAGATGTCTTATTTCGCTTATTTCGCAAATGTGTGACGTCATAGTTTGGTTTTCCGTA